GGCGGCAACCCTCATGCAGATCGGCGGGGTCAGGCTCCAAAAACCAATGGGATTTTGCCACATTTCTAGACTTCGGCGGCACCCCTCACGATGATCGGCGGAGTCGGGGTCGAAAAACCAATAGGATTTGCCACATTTCTAAAATTCGGCGGCACCCCTCGCGATGATCGGCGGAGTCAGGGTCGAAAGACCAATGGGATTTGTCACATTTCTGAAATTCGTCGGCACCCCTCACGGAGATCAGCAGGGTCAGGGTCGAAAAACCAATGGGATTTGCCACGTGTCCGAAATTATGTGGGAAACCTCAGTACACAGCATACGGGGCAGGTTCAAAATTAAGCACTGAATTCAACAATATCATCATAATCTCAATTTCTCTTGCCGATTCTGCTTCACGGAGGCGCCGAGGCTTCATGATTTAGCTCTTGCATCGCCCATTATCCGAGAGAGGGGGCCGGTGGCAGGGGGCGAAGCCCTTACGGATAAAAATCTCGATTATGTCGAGCCATCTGTCTGGATGTATAAGTGCCCCTTGTATACTTTGTTCGGGCACGGTGCTCTGGTGTAAATTAGAATGGAATGCTTGCAAATTGTCTGGTCGGCCCGAACTTTGATCCATCCCCGCAGAGCTCTGTATATCGGTTCCCGATCCCGCAGTATAAGTTCCCCCTTGTAGCCCCCCTCGAATTTTGAGACTCTTCCACTGGTTCCTTCTGCGCCCCCCCCACCGCGCGCGCGTAGTCATTGCGACCGGTGTCATCGTCATTGCCATCACAACCATCGGCCCGCCTAGAAGCGCGCGGCGGGGACGCATGCGGCCGCGGCCAATGCGCATTGCAGGGCGCGACATGTGCGAGGGGCGCGCCGAAATGCGCGGCGGGGGGGGGCGCATGTGGCCGCGGCAACTGGGGCCTGAAGTGGAACGCGAAACGCGTGACGGGCGTGCAGAAGAGGGCCCGATCGTCGCCGCGGCTGGTCGTGGTTCGGTTGCTGGTGCCTGAGCGCATTGTAATAATGGCAGTATCAGTGGCACTGGAATTAGTGGCGGCGGTCTGTATGTACACCACATCCAGATGGGTCGCTTGAACTTAAAGGCCTGCCTTGTGTGGAACTCTCTATGGGGCCACGGAAATGTTTGAAAACGCAGGAAGGGCGCACCATGCGACGGCTTAGAAAAAGAATGGCCTTCAGAACTGATTTTGCGATTCCGATATGCTTCTGTGGCGGTCTGTAAATTTGGGCCGTCGTTCGAAATACCTGTAGCACTGCCCTGGCGAAGCGCTGTGCCATTTGCCCAAAGCGGGCTCTCAAGACGCAAACCCTGGGCAAAAGCAATACGAAATCCACACGAAAGACGCAACCATTGCAATTGTGAGAACCGCAATTGGAATACCTTCTTCGGTGGCGATCCGTATGGGGCCACGAAGCGTGCGAGGGGTGTGCCGACATGGGTGGCGCGGACGCATGCGGACACCGCGCTGGAACCTTCGGTGGCGCTCCCTATGGGTCCACGGAACGCGCGAGGAGAGCGCCGCAGACGCACGTGGACATGCCCACTGGGGCCTGCACTGAGACTCCCTATGGGTCCACGAAACGTATGAGGGGTGCGCCGAAATGGGTGGCGCGGACGCATGTGGGCACCGCCGCTGGGGCCTTCGGTGGAGCTCCCTATGAGACACGAAGCGCGCGAGGGGCGCACCGACATGGGTGGCGCGGGCGCGCGTGCACACCGCCACGCGGGCCTTCGGTGAAGCTCCTGTGGCCACGGAGCGAGAGAGGGGTGCGCCGAAATGGATGGCGCGGACGCATGTGGACACACCCGCCAGGCCCTTCGGCGGAGTTCCTATGGAACCACGAAGTGTGTGAGGGGCGTGCCGGCATGGGTGGCGCGGGCTCATGTGGACGCCGCCGCTGGGGCCTTCGGTGGCGCTACCTATGGGGTCGTGACGCGTGTGAAGGGTGCGCCGAAAATGGTGGCGCGGACGCACGTGGACACCACCGCTGGGGCCTACGGTGGAGCTCCCTATGGGTTCACGGAACGTGTGAAGGGTGTGCCGACATGGGTGGCGCGGACGCACGTGGACACACCCACTGCGGCCTTCGGTTGAGCTCCTTCTGGGGCCACGAATCATGTGAGGGGTTTGCCGACATGGGAGGCGCGGGCGCACGTGGACACCGCGACTGGGGCCTTCGGTGGAGCTGCCACGAAGCGCGTGAATGGTGCGCCGAAGTCGGTGGCGCGGACGCATGTGGAGACACCCCCACTGCGGCCTTCGGTGGAGCCCCCCTATGGGCCCTGGAAAGTTTGAAGGGTGCGCCGAAATGGTTGGCGCGGACGCATGTGGAGACACTCCCACTGCGGCCTTCGGTGAAGCTCCCTATGGGGCCACGAACCGTGTGAGGGGTGCGCCGAGATGGATGGCGCGGGCGCATGTGGACACCGCCGCTGGGGCCCTCGGTGGAGCTCCCTATGGAGCCACGGAACGTGCGAGCGGCGTGCTGGCATGGGTGGCGCGCATGTGGACGCCGCTGCTGGGGCCTTCGGTGGCGCTACCTATGGGGCCACGAAGCGTGTGACGGGTGTGCCGACATGGGTGGCGCGGACGCATGTGGTGGACACCACCGCTGGGGCCTACGGTGGAGCTCCCGATGGGTCCACGGAACGTGTGAAGGGTGTGCCGACATGGGTGGCGCGGAGGCACGTGGACGCACCCACTGCGGCCTTCGGTTGAGCTCCTTCTGGGGCCACGAAGCGTGTGAGGGGTGTGCCGACATGGATGGCGCGGGCGCATGTGGACACCGCCACTGGGGCCTTTGGTGCGGCTGCCACGAAGCGCGTGAATGGTGCGCCGAAGTCGGTGGCGCGGACGCATGTGGACAGCGCCACTGGGGCCTTCGGTGGAGCCCCCCTATGGGGCCAGGGAACGTGTGAAGGGTGCGCCGAAATGGGTGGCGCGGGCGCATGTGGACACCGCCGCTGGGGCCCTCGGTGGAGCTCTTTACGGGGCCGCGACAGGTGGAGGGTTACGCCGGTGGCGCGGACGCATGTGGACACAGCCGATGGGGCATTCGGTGGAGCTCTCAATGGGGCCACGAAGCGTGCGAAGGGTGTGCCGACATGGGTGGCGCGGACGCACGTGGACACCGCCGCTGGGGCCTTCCGTGGAGCTCTCTATGGTGCCACGAAACGTGTGAAGGGCGTGTCGAAATCGGTGTCGCGGACGCATATGGGCACCACCACCGCTTGGGCCCCCGGTGGAACTCCCTAGCCGCGAAACGTGTGAGAGGTGTTGCCGAAATGGACGGGGGCGCATGTGAACACCGCCGCTGGGGCCTTCGATGGAGCTCCCTATTGGGCTACGAAGCGTGTGAGGGGTGTGCCGAAGTGGGTGGCGCGGACGCATGTGGACACCGCCACTGGCGCCTTCGGTGGATCTCCATATGGGGCCGCGAAACGTGTGAAGGGCGCGCCGAAGCTAGTTGCGGCAAAGGTGGTGATGATGGCGGCGATGATGACGACGATGATGGTGATGATGACGAGGATGATGATGACGATGATGATGATGAGGAGGAGGAGGAGGAGGAGGATGATGATGGCAATGACGATGACAATAATTAATGATGGCGGGGAGGGAGGAGGGGGAGGAGGAAGGAGTGGATGCGGGACGCTGCTACAAAACGAGGACCCAACACCACATGATGGTTGGCAAAAACCCAGGTCTCAAGGCCAAGACGTGCCCCAACGGGATCCCTCGTCCCTACCCTGCTCCCTATTCTCTACACTACTCTCTACACACTGTGAGACTGTAGGATCCGTACCCCCATACCCTCCCTACCCGCTTGAGTCCCTAGAGCCCTAGAGAGCCCCTAGATCCCCAGATCTACCCTCACTGCCCACCATTGGATCACTGGACCCCTGAAGGATCCCTGATGTCTACCCCCGAAGACCCCTGGGCCCACGGAGCCCTTTACTCCCTATAACCTGAGATCCCCGCTCCCTATCCTCTCGGACCCCTGATCATCTTGGACCCCTGATCCCTGCCCCCTAGCATCGTGGACCCCTGATCCCTACTCTCTAGCCCGCGTGGCTTCTGATCCTCCCGCACCCTGCGCGCGGCGGGGGGGATCCAGACCCGACGGGGTTGCACTAAGTTAGCTAAGCGCCTTTCCTCTGACGAGCCCGCGCGCGCGACGGCGTTGACCTGGCGGGGGGGCAACAGGTAGCGGCAACGGCGGAAAAGGAGGGGGGGCGGGCGAGAAGGGGGATGAAGGGGGAGGGAGGGAAGGAGTGGGGGGGCGACGTGGAGGTGGAAGGGGATGATGGCGGGGTCGCGCTCATCGGGGCGGAAGAGGGGGAGGACGATAAAATGGGGGGTTGATAAGGAGGAGGAGGAGAAGGAGGAGAAGGAGGAGGAGGAGGAGGAAGGGGAGGAGAAGGAGGAGGAGGAGGAGGAGAAGGAGGAGGAAGAGGAGGGCGGGTGGGTGGATCAAGGAGGACGCGCGGCGGCGCGGAGCGGTGGTGGCGGCGGCGGAGGGGCAGGAGGTCAGCCGTCATCGTTGCCGCCGTCGTCGTCGTCGTCGTCGTCGTCGTCGTCGTCGTCGTCGTCGTCCTCGTCGTCGTCGTCGTCCTCCTCTTCCTCGCCGTCGTCGTCATCGTCGTCGACGTCGCCGCCGTCGTCGTCGTCGTCGTCGTCGTCGAAGGCCCCGGGCCCCACGGCGCCAGGCCCTGGCGACTTCCTCGGACGACGAATCGAATCCCAAAACCGCGCGGTGACCCCGAATCCCCACTGCCTCACCACGCCGCGTGGTCACCACACCACGTGGGGGCCCCCGGAGCGTGCCCCAGATGCCGAAGCCGAGGAATGACGCCAGGACTGCACATATCCGCAAGGAAAACCTCTCCGACGAACGCCCTCACGATGACTTCTTCGCCGTCGTCGTCGTCGTCGTCGTCGTCGTCGTCGTCGTCGTGGTCGTCGTCATCCAGGCAGCCGGCGCTCCTGCAGCGGCGCCTCTCGCGCGTCGCCGACGCGGGCCTCGAGCGCGGCGGCCGCGGGGACGCGCCCGGCGGCCTGCTGCGCCTCGAAGGCCTTCGGGCGCGCTGCGTTGCCGTCGGAGTGGCCGTCGGCGTGATCGTGTCATCCAATACGTCGGGAGGCAACTACTGGGAGGTCTTCGTCGGACGGATGAAACATGATTAAGCTCTTTGGGGGGCTGCTACGCTGGAATAGGCCGCGGATTAAACAGGATTCAGCCGGATTGAGCTGGACTAAGCTGGATTAAACCGGATTAAGCGGGATTGCGCCGATTTGAAACGGCTTTCGGACCAGGGCAAGGTCCCACCAGCCCTCTGGACGTAGATGGTTTCGGATTGTCTTCTCTCTCTTTCTCTCTCTCTCCCTCTGCCAAAAACCCTCCGCCGGGCACGGGCGACCACAATCACATACCACAAGGGGTAGGAACACGGTCGACCACGGGGCGAGCACGGTCGACCAGTCGACCAGGACGGGATACGGGCGTCCAATGTCCCCCCCCTCTTTCCTCGTATCTCCTCCTCCTCCTGTATCCTGTTCCTCCTCCTCCTCCTCCTCCTCTTCCTGTATAATTTTTGTTACAGGCTTAGGGGGTTCCACACATTTTTTGCTTTTTTAGTTCCGATGTTCGCTGGTACTGTTGCGCGCGCGTTGTAAAATGCAATGTCATAACGCCGTTGGCTCATGACGACCCCGGGGGCCTGCGCCGAACAGCGTTCTGGGCTGTGCCTCAACAGACACGCCTACCTCGATAGTAACAGCGCTGGTGGACAAGAAGGGGGGTAGGCGCCGAGAAGGGAGAAGGCAACCACAAAACATGCTGACAAAACAAACCATCTAGCTAATTTAACGCGGTCACCTCGGCATGAAAGGCTGAGCTCAGGCCTCTGAGCCTCCGTGCAGCACGTCCCACCTCGACTGTCTTGGAACCCTCGATGCCGCGCGCCGCCATGCCCATCGCAACCGACCCACTTTTCCGTAACCCCTGTCGATGCAAACCTCCAGCCTGCGGCGTCGCAGAACTTCGGAGCCGGAAACTTCGTGGGTCTTTGTCATAATCGTCGCTGGTGTCAAATGCTAAATTTACCATGTAGTCCGTTTTGCTGTTGAACCTCCGGGGGGGCCAGATGACGAAAAGGTCGATATCGCGCCGCGGCTTTCATTCGGAATTCCAAAGGTATTCGAGGCGGCAGCAGATTCGTCAAAATCGCTTCCAGGTGGGGGGCGCGTAGGACGGCCACCCCATTTACCACGTGAGCTACCCCCAAACAATCTATCTGGAATCAAATTCGCTCGGGGGGGTCGTCCCACTTGTCGTCATCGGGGTGAACAAGGAGATCGGGGATTACGCTAAGAAGCGCGCCGCGGTCTTGCACGAACAGCCGCTGTGGAGAAGCCGCCGGGGTGTCTGGGAAGTCTATGTTGTAGAGGGCGCGCGTGTTTTTTTTTTTTTTTGCGAAATCGCCACAGTGCTTCACCCGCGCAGCCTTGGAAGATGCGCGGGCTCGCTTTGAGAGCCAATCCGCCCCCCACATGCTGCAGAGAGGGTCTTCCTAAGCAGGCCGGTGCCCAAGCCGGCTATGAACGATATTATCTGCTAGGCGTTTTCGATGCGAACCCAAAGTCGACGCAGTGCCGCCACAACTGATTCCTGAAATCTCGGGCCTATTGCAACGGATTGCGCAAGCTAGCGAGGCCCGTTGCCCGTTCGCCCCAAACGGCCGTATAACTGGCATGAAAAATGCGGCGCGTGCAAAACTCGATGCCCCTGCGTAGATACCACCGGCGGATTTGCGTGGCAGACCGCTCATTGAAATCCACGGCCCCCTCCGCGTGACGACGGCGAAGACGAAGAAGTTGGCGGGTACGCTTGAAACCCCATCGCCAGACCTCTCAGACTAGGACTGCCGTGGCGCGCCGAGAATCGCGTCCAAATATAGCCGACGTAGCCGGAGACGTCGCCCAAGCCCGTAGTCTCGGCAAGACGGGGCCCCGAACTCGGAATATATGTTTGCGCTTGAAATGTACCCGGTCGCCAGGTGTCTGGCGGAACCGCATGCCTGTCATGGAACGCCCCTCCCTGTCGAACAACTCCCTGAAAAGAATCATCTCATCTACGACATTGCAAACGCGGCGGGTACCTCTCTGAGCTATAGCGAACTCATATGTGAATTCGCACGCGAATCTCCCTGCTGGCAACTTTTCTAACAATGAGGCCTTCCAGTGCAAGTCACGCGAATGGCATCGAGTGGTAATTTCGTTGATCGCGAGGCTCGCCTGGTCGGCGGCGAAAAGAACGATGCTGTCGCAGCAACGGCATGTGACATGTGCCACGTTAAAATCACGGCTCCCAAAATCAAATTTGAAGCCGAATGCTTTGACCCCCCCCCAAAAAAAAAAGAAGCTTGGATGAGAGGCTCCAGCAAGCAATCCGTCAACCTGTTCCGTTGACCCGGGGTCTCAATGCCACCCTGCTTGCCTCCTTTGCTGTGGTCGAAAAGTGACTTGCCCCCAACCCAGGGCAGATGGACGGTCGCCCGCAGTCCCGTGAGCTCGAGGAGGTGCGCCGCAGACATCCCAGAGCTTACTCCCTGACTCCTCATGGAGGTGCGCATGTGCTCGTGCTGCATGGAATCGAATGCGAACTCTACACCTGGTGCTGCGATTAGAAGCCCCATTCCCCATGTAAAAGCCAAGTGAAGCAATTGTCACAGCAAGGCCGTCAAATGTTCTGTTTTACATCCTGGGCGAGAGCCATAAGAGCGAACGGTGGATGGGCGAAATTGTCGACGCAACTGGGGCCTAACCTCCACGCGTGCCATTTTTGCAACGGGGCCGACGCGCAAATCCAGCATAAGTCCTTGAAGGTCCGGACGTCCGTGGTCTTCGAAACCCCAGAGAAATCGAAGAGTCTCCAAATGCGGTGATTCGCCGCCAGGTTGAAGACCGAGTCTTTCCTCGAACATTGCGCGCATGTGTAATATCGCCGTCGCGGCGTGATTCTGCAAAACTTCAGCCGACCTGCCATCGGCGCCCGCGCCCTCGCCGTCTGACGAAGCGGCCCGAGCTTGCAACGCATCATAAACATCTAACTGCGCACCTCTCGAGAAATTACCATCGAGGCGGTCGGCCCGGGCAGCAGAATCGGACTCGACCAATCGAGCCATTTGTTTTGAAATGTCGTTTGCCGCATGACCGAAACGGCCACGTCCGAAGTCCAATAAAGCTCGCAACCATTGCGCGTGATCCGTCGACATGTCACCATCGAGCTCAAAACGCACAGGTTGAAGCGACTGCTGCGGAAGAGCTTTGGGAAGTCTGGGGAGTTTGTGCAAGTGCTTCCTTCGAGCGCGCCGTCGTCGCAGCCGTCTGATCTCTCGCTTGATCTCCTCAGCTGCTGGCCCGCGCGCTTGCCCTCGAAACTGCGACCGAAGTGAAGACGCGTGCCCTGCTAATGCCGCATATGTACCATCTCGGGCGGCGCGCGACGGAGTGCGCGGGGTGCGAACGGCCAGGTCAAGGCTGATTCTTCCAAAGGTGCTAGCTCGAACAAGCATTCAAAACTGCTCGCTGAAAATGGCCCCGGCCGGTAGGTTCCCTGGGTTTCCAACCTTTGAGAAAATGGGGCCTCGGAGGGTTCCAACCTTGGAGAAAATGGGGCCTCGGAGGGGGCGCGAACAGGCCTGTGGTCCAATGGAAATCGCTTGCAAACGTCCCTGAGCTGGGAACGCACCAGCGGGCATGCCGAACCTTGGGCGCCATCCGATACACACGCGCAGTCAATTTGGAAACGCGCTTTGGGGGCGCACTTCATTCCGCGCACCCATCAAGACTCGCGGCTGGCAGTGGCCAGTTGAGCGCGCGACTGTTGAGAGCGCGCAAACTGCATTGGTGTAGACAAGATGAGATGCCCTGCTGCTTTATGTTAGCATGGCCCTTCCGATAAAGGGTAGTGTTGGCATCGACCCCTGCCACTACTGGTGCATCTCGTTTCGTCTCAGAGCAGGCGTGCGCGTAGAATTCGCGAGCACCCGCTTGAATCTGATCCAGAAGAGTATCATGAGCATTGTCGTGGAGAGGGGAACGGAACACATGGGTCGGGAAGATGCACATGTGGTCGAAGAAAAGGCCCGCCCAGTACGTCCCAAAACGGACGCCGCGGATGTGGTTCCCGACGCTTGCGGGGACAAGAGAAGCGCAGTCCTCCCCAGTGTAGCCCCCTTATCGAGGTCAGACTGCGTAGAAGATGAAACTATGTTGTAACCGCTGGTGAACTCCCCAGCTGGCCATCTGGGAACTTCCCGAAGACGCGCGAGCGCATGGCCTAGACCCAATCCTTCGAGATTGCGCCCAATCGCCATCCCTGCCCGTGTCTCCCCGCTTCCGGAGGCTCCAAGACATCGCTGCGAGGGTATGCTGCTCTGGGCCTGAGCCCCCCGGGCACCCCTACCTCCTGCACTCGAAGGCCGCAAGAGCAGCGTCGGCCATCTCCGCCGACGGCTTACCAAGAAACTCCAAGCCCTCACGGTCCCAAGTCACACGGGCGCCCCCGTCGAGATGGGCGATGAAGACAGCCGCCTTGCCGTCCGAGGTCGCGGTCGCGTTGAAATCCTGCTTCCACATGATATTGGCGGCCCAGGTGGCATCGATCTCGCTCGTCGCAAAGTCCGCCGCCGTACCCGAGGTCGATTTCACCTTCGCGACGGGCGGGTGAGGCTGCGGGCGGGCCGATAATTTCTTGCCCCACAAATTGTTGGCCCCCCCCTCGAGGTGATCGTTCCACGCGTTGGCGATCTCCGAGAGATGGGTCGGCGCCATGGGGATGCGGATGGAAGAATCCTAAGCCCTTAACTCGCCGACGTGGCTGTGAACGCATTCCGGTAGGACGGGCGTCAGCTTGGCGACGACGTCGGCGGCCCCGGGTCGGTCGCCACCTTCGGTGTCTCGCTTCTCCCAGGCGCAGAACCCATTCGCTTCGACCCACTGCGGCGCGAAGCCCTTCTGCGGACCCTTGCTCTCGAAGGTGCGGAGGCGGGCTTGAAAATTATCGCGTCGCG